TCCCCCCCTCATTATCTTTATGGCCCCCACCCGCTGCCCAGGGGTGGGGGCCGGGGGGGGCAGTAGGTCCCCCCCTCATTATCAATATGGCCCCCCCACCACGCCCGGCGGGGGTGGGTGCGGGGGACAATAGGTCCCCCCCTTATTTTTCATTTTAGGGCCCCCACCCACCGCTCAGGGGTGGGGGCCGGGGGGGGACAATAGGTCCCCCCCTTATTGGTATTTTTAGGGCCCCCACCCACCGCGCAGGAGTGGGGGCCGGGGGGCATTAGGTCCCCCCTCATTGTCAATATGGCCCCCAACCGCCGAGCAGGGGTGGGGGCGGGGGGACAATAGGTCCCCCCCTTATTTTTCATTTTAGGGCCCCCACCCACCGCTCAGGGGTGGGGGCCGGGGGGGGACAATAGGTCCCCCCTTATTGGTATTTTTAGGGCCCCCACCCACCGCTCAGGGGTGGGGGCCGGGGGGAGGACAATAGGTCCCCCCCCTATTAGTATTTAGGGCCCCCACCGGGGGGGGGACCCTTTTTTTTTAAACAGTGAGCAGCCACTGTTTAACAGACATGCCCCTACTCGCGGTATTGCGAGTACGGGCACAATTTACTAATACTAAGTAATTTTTACTTAGTATTAGTAAATTAATAGGGGGCGGACCGAACATCGCATATGTTCGCCGTCGGTGGCGAACGCGAACACGCTATGTTCGCCGGGTACTATTCGCCAGCGAACCGTTCGGGACATCACTATTGTTAAGGATGATGAGCGGCCTTTGTTAATGATGTGACATGTTGCTTGGTTGTCTGTGTGGCAACGAACTGAAAATCCTGACCATGAATATCCCCATGCCACGGCAGCTGCTACAATGGGATAAATCTCAAATAGAGCTAAGGTTGTAAAAAAGCCTTCTAAGTCATAGACTTCTGCAGGCCACTTACCCCAAAGCCAATTGTTTCCTAAGATTGCTGCGAAACCTGTGGTAGATGCCGCGTCTGACCATATTGTTGGAGACGTGTCAGTCAATTCTGGTAGGAACAAGCTTTTACCATTCCAGGTGGTCAAGAATTCTTTCCACATATATAGGTCTGCCGTGGCATGCTCATCCAAGGATAGTCTATAGTTGTCGTGTTTGAAATGTGGAAACAGACAGAGAAGTCTGGATATGAAAGCCAGCCCTTGAGGAATGATGCGCATGGCAAAGTTTAAAGAACCTATGAGTGATTGTAGTTCCTTGCGGTTGCAATTACCCATCAAAATGTAATGGTTAATGCTGTGAAGTATGTTTGTGATTTTGTCTTGTGGTAAACTTGCAAGAACAGAATATTCAAGGATATCTTTCAATGTAGGGTAATAACTGCTTGATCCAAGGATAAATCTGACTGCCATTCTGGGGTCAAGAAGGAATTTTTTTCCTAGCTTGTTGCAAAATTGTGCTTCAAACTGTTTTTTTTTTGCCTTCTTTTGGATCAACAGCAAAAAACAAATGTAAGGTAGGCTGAACTTGATGGACGCAAGTCTCTTTTCAGCTATGTAACAATCTAACTATGAAACTAGCCTGCATGGAGGCAGAGTCTAGTTGTATACCTAGGAATGTAATAATTGTATCTGGGCCTTCGGTTTTCTTGTTGGATACCGGGACTCCAAGGTGGTCAAACAACCTAAAAGTTGCTTTGAGACTCCTGGGGGGAAGGGAGTTTGCTTCAATCAGTAAGAAATCATCCAGATAATGGATGACTATGGGGCATCTAGACACATTAAGTAACAACCAGCACAAGATTTTGGAGCTACTTTTAGACCCAAAGGTTAAACGGGAGAAAAAGTAATAGTTATCTGCCCATTTTATGCCATGTAAGTGCCATAGGGTGGGATGGATAGCTAGTAGTTTAAAGGCATTGGTAATGTCTGTCTTACTTAGCCATGCTCCGATCCCTGATTGCATAATGGCTGTAATAGCATGGTCTATGGTGGCATATTGCAGGGAAAACTCTTCAGAGGGAATAAGAAAGTTTAGACTCGGTGTAGATGAGGTATGAGGGGCTGACAGATCTATTATGAGTCTTTGTTTGAGGGAAGTTTTCCCCGTGACTATCCCTATGGGATTTGTGCGCCATGCCGTAAAAGGTGGGATTTTGAAAGGCCCGAACAGGAACCCTTCTGCCAGCTCTTGTGCTAGGAGTGTGTCTATGGATGCTGGGTTTTGTTGTGCTGATTGTAAATTAGGGCATTCGAGCTGGCCTGTGGGCATATGTATAATGCCTGTATGAAACCCCTCTGAGAATCCAGAAATGAGAAAATTTACCATATGTCTGGAAGGGTGATTGGTTAAAAGTGCTGCAAAGACATGAATGTTAACAGACGTTAGGTACGGTTTAGGGTACATTTTATTTGGACACATGGTATGCGCAGTAACCTACATGCACTAAAGCTACATGTGCCCACATTGAAATTATTGCACACTTGCGATTTACCAAAGAAAATGATAGGACGACCCAGTTTGTCCCTGGTGATTTTCTCAGTTCTACCCGCGTAGCTTGTGCTAGGTGACTGATTACGGTCGTCTGCCGTGTGAGAACAGAAATTGGTAGTGTGAGTGGTAGAACAGCAAGATGCACAAGCCGGTGTTTTGAGACCTGCAAAGTGTCTACAGAACAGCTCTGTATCTAGTCTGCTCCAGTTGATACGGGTACCATACTGAGAGAGAGCTTCAGACACTTTAGTGGAAAAAGACCTATGGTAGTCATAAAAAGCAGATCCATCATATTTGTTCCCCAGGTCCACCAGCTTGTGCATATATTGATCAAATTCTTCCCTTCTATTAGGGTATACTTCACAAATTACATCTCTAAAAATACCAAAGGCTAACACAAATTCTGGAATGGTCAGTTTACGGTTTAACCTTACGTCTTTTGATCTGACCACTACAGAAACTTCGTCGTACATATAGGTTTTGTTCTCCACCACATCCTGGGAGGCAATTAGTAGGGATGCCAGGTTGACGTCTTTGCCTTCCAGGATGTCTCTCTTAATGTGGGCTGGGATAGTGTATGCAAGGTCAACGTCCTGATAATCTGAGGAGCTAACCATACCCGTGGCCCGTGGATCGGTTGGTGCCTGTTGAGCAGTATCAGGAAGACCAGCCTTGGTGAGGGCTGTGGTGACTGCCTCGAGATTAGCCAGTCTGTCATTGACCTTGCCCATAGAGGTCATGAGTGAGGCCAGCATAGCCTGGATATCACCTGAACTGTTGTTGCTGGGGCCTTCCCCTGCTTCTGTGTTGTCGATTGTAGTATTAAGGAGTTTGAATAGTTCAGCTTTCCTTGCTGTGGCAGGGTAAGGGATTTGTCGCCTCCTTAACTCCTTGGTGATACGTGGGATCGTCCAGGATCTAATTGATGCTGGACTGGCAATGTCTTCTCTACGAGACGGTGTCTCAACCCTAGTTGGGGTGGCATGAAGAGATAGCTCTTCATCACCTTCAAGAGACATACTTAAATAAAAGGAAAGATAGATTTATTATTTGAACATATTAGTTTAGTACTGGCTACTAGCTATGCCGTGAGGCGAAACAATTATGCTTATTGTTTATTGGTGACATTGGTTTATTGCCAAGCGGCTTGAGAGGCTCTATCTATGGTTGGCACGAGGGGATTGTTGTGGCCACCGAACGTTGTGGCGGGATGTCGGCCTCTCGGTGACTGTAATCAGAAAATAGGAAAGGGAGTGACATGTGAGGCCCTCTCTATGCAACGTGCGAGGCGGCTAGCTCACGTGTGGCCTGAGGGGTGTTTGCTTCCGAGTTTGAAGCGGGGTGTTGGCCTCGCGGGACCACTAATCCTAAGCATGAATGCAGAAATGGGGGAATTAACTTTTGGCCCCTATGACTCTAATTGCCAGTACTTGTCTGTCCTGTGGGGGATTTGAATGGTTCTACTTTAAGCAGGTGTACGTACCTGGTAGTATAGGTTATTGAACCTGGTAATCCATATAGGTAATAGTAGTACCTGTAACTAAATAGATGCACCGTATGAAAATATATACAAGTGACATAATTGTATTATCTTAATTATGTTCGTATTGACCTGTATAGGCCAGGAAATGGTGATTGTAAGATCTCCTTGACCCTGTATGTCACCTCATAATGGTAGGAATTTGTAGTAGTAAAGGCAATTTGTATAAATGTATGTATACTTTCCTAGGGAGAAGTATGGTATATCTGTGAGGTTGTGTAAGGTGTACAGGAACTTAATGTGATATTTTAATAATGGTAATATCCTTGCCGACCTTAAGGTGGCAGTGTGGAATCTTTAACCATGTGAATACCCATATGTGTAACTGGGACCTGTTTGTTAACCCATTCGTGAGTATATTTCTCAGCATGTTACTATTATATTCCCCAACAATTGTCTGTCGTGTATTTAACCGTACGAACTGGACAACATAAGACTATCAGGGTTTGGCAGTGTTAGTATATGTGAAAATTGTTTGTGCGATGTGCAAGTCCCGAACAGTAATTGACCGGAGAATCAGTAACATGTATTTGTATAGCGTGTTCGTGCGTTTGACCGCACGAACGTAATCATGTGTGCGAAATTTTTTAGCGATTAATTATATGTCATATAAGTACCGAACGTTGCAACGAAAATTCTGTGTAAGCGAACAGCTGAACCCGGACGGATATAATATAGCGATATTTAAGTGCTGAAATAGCCGAACGCGTACAGTAAGTGAGGACCTGAACCGTATGTGATGCCGTGGCCTTGTTGCCTGGCGTGACGGTTAGGTCTACTTACTGTTTAGTAGTCACTAGGACGTGATCCGCAGCGATAGTAAGCAGTAGTTGCTCCAAAAGAAATCTGCAGAAGGATTCCTGGACACTGTTCAGTGATGGAAACCTCGTGGGACACAGAAGTATTCCAAAAATGTCGACTGGATGAACCGGAAGTGCATTCAGACGCTGACCTTGAACAGTGTGGAGACAGGTAAGGGATGCACCTTATATAGGGGAGTGGTTTAATACCAGCCCTTTCCACAAATACAGGCCAAACGGCCTTAACATATATATATGTGTTAAGGCCGTTTGGCCTGTATTTGTGGAAAGGGCTGGTATTAAACCACTCCCCTATATAAGGTGCATCCCTTACCTGTCTCCACACTGTTCAAGGTCAGCGTCTGAATGCACTTCCGGTTCATCCAGTCGACATTTTTGGAATACTTCTGTAAATGTAAAGCATAAAAATTCAAAGTTTGAAAAAAACTGGAATGGCTGTGTCCCAAATGTGCCCCTCCGATGTCCACACATACCTGGCAAAGGTACACACGGGGGTATTGCTGTACTCAGCCGACATAGCTGAGCAACATATGAAGTATTATACAGTCGTAGCACACATAAGGTTTGCAAAATATACTGTGCAAACTCACTTTGTATGTCAAAAAGGCAGAAAAAATGCTTATTACCACTACATCTGGTACAAGCTAGCGGAAAAATGATCCCACGCTAAGGTTCAAACTATACATTTGAAACACCCTGGGGTGTCTACTTTAAGAAATGGTAGGCCTTTGTGGGGTAGTTTGAATTTAAAACCTGCGAAGATGCTTGGAAATTGCACATAGGCACAGCGTCAAAATTCAAAGTTTGGTAAAAACGGATATGGCTTGGTCTCCTATATGGCACTGTAGCTTCACAAAATAGTGACAAAGACATTCATTGGGGTGTATTTTTACTCAAAAGACTTAGCTGAGCATAATTTGGGAGGTTTGAACTTAGTGGCACATATGAAATATACAAAACGCCCAGCAAAAATGCAATCCGTATGTAAAAAATGCACAAAATAATTTTTTTACCACATACTTTGGCATATATTGGTGAAAAAATGGGGTATGTTAAGGCACAATATGCACCTTATGAGATACCCTGGAGTGTCTACTTTTACAAATGGTAGGCCTTTGTGGGGGTTTTTTGAACAGTCAAACTGTTATAATACCCCAAATGGAAGCTAAGGCTCATTAAATTCATCTCTCAAAATTCTTCTGTGAATACTGAAAAGGACAGGTATCCTGTATGGCACTGTAACTTCATGAAATAGTGCAAAAGACATACAATGGGGGTGTCATTTTACTCAGCAGATGTAACTGAACACAAAATAAAACTTTGTACAGGAATAGCACACACCAAATTTACAAAATATACACGAGAATTTCTCTGTTATAAGTTTGTGTGCCAAAAACCAAAAAGAACACAGTTTTACTCCAATATTTAGCAGAGGTTGGCGGTGAAATGGCTACGTAGAAAGTGTCAAAACAACCTTAGGTAAATAGCCCGTGATGTCTACTTTATATAAATATATACTTTGTGTGGCAATTTTGTTTTCTTTTATGGCTATTAAGCTTACAAGACAAACATACCAAATTCTAAAATCGCTCCACATTAAAAGTTTATTTTACTCCTTGTGCTTTGTGACCTGTAACTACCAAAAAAAACTTAAAATCCCAGACACAATTTATATTCTGTAAATCAGAACAAATAAATAAATTTATTTTTAATTACTTTCCTTAACCTGCACTAATTATGCACACATTATTATTGCAAAAACTGTAAAAAAAAACAATATTTTTCATTTTTTTGCATTTTTCTGTATTTTTTTTATAATAAGTAAGCATTTATATATATATATATATATATATATATATATATATGTTATATCAAATTAAAGCCCTTTCTGTCATTTAAAAAACAGTATATAATATGTGTCAGTGCAATAAATGAGAGAGATGCAAATTGCAGTTGAACGCAAACAGCAAGAAAATGCAAAAATTGCTTGTGTCATTAAGCGTAAGTCAAGCTTCTGAAGCTGTGTCCTTAAGGGGTTAAACTTTATTTGGATAATGAAGATGATTTTTTTTTTATGAGCAGGATTCTTAAATTCTTCTTGTCAGATGCAGAATGGAAAGTGCAAGAAAAACTAAGTTGGTTTAGTGATACATTATACAGTGTGAATGACTAGAATATCTTTTTTCTGCTTATCTTTTTACAAAGTTATTCACTAGCCTTGTTGCAGTATTTAAAGGTCAACATCCTACAGATAAATAAATCAAAATGTAGCAAGTGATGTAAGTAAAATATTAAAACAAATCTTGAATTTTGAAAAATACATTATTCATTTGTAAATATTGTTGAAAAAAACCCATGACATTTGTTTATAAGTTATGAATTAGTTACATGACATCTGTCACCAAATTGTTTTATTATTAACCCCTTAAAGACTGAGCCAAATGTACACGTTGTGAACAAAACAAAACGTAAACAAAACCTGGCATTTGCGCTATAGGTCTGTCCAACCGTTATTGACCTCTTTCATATTAAATGCACCCACCCTTATTATATATCATTTTATTCAGGGGAAACAGGGCTTTCATTTAATATCAAATATTTAGCTATGAAACATAATTTAATATGAAAAAAAATGGGAGAAAATAAGAAATGTTGTTATTTTTTGTTAGTTCCACA